TCTGGAATGTTACGTAGCGACAGATTCAATAGTCCTATATCTTCTCTATAATTATGACTAGCTGTGTAGCTCTGAACAAAGAGGCTTGAGCTCCACATACATACTAACTAATTACAAGAGCAGGTGTTCTGTCACAATATAGTCAGCATACTATCGAACGGATGATCCGAGATAAATAACCGTTAGTGATTTGTCTACAGTCATTCCATAGCTGGTGCCATTGAAGTTTACACAAAGTACTTTGTAGATAGTGTGTCGAACAATGTAAACACTCAGTCATCATCATAGTATTTCTTATGTTAATTAACAAAGAAAATGATCGAATAGATCCAACGTAAAATGAACTGTTATTTGTTAATTTAAATGATAATTTGCAGATTCTTTCTAAATTTAAACAAAACTATATCAGTTCTGATTGAAGATCATTAAAACACTTAATTTTAATGTTTTTGATTAGTTTGTTAGTTAAATATGTAATACTACTATATTCAATAATTGAACCAATTTCGTATGGGATAACCCGATGAATACTTAATCCTTTGCCTAGGTTGCTTTAATGCTCATCTAGAAGCATTATCAGAGAGTCTTCATTTCCTTTACAAACATGACCAAAGGGCTTAGCCTTGTCTATAACTTTTTTTTTCGAGTCTCAATAATTCGAATCAAAGGAAATATAACATTTAAAAAAAAAATTTTTTTCTTTTATAGCTTTCTGAAGGATTTTCAGAAGCAATTGATCCAGTCATGCAAACATTAGGATATTGTTGTGGTCGACAATATGTTTATTTTCCACAAGTAATGTTTTGTTATGGTAATCAATTATGTTGTCAAATTCCACGTGATGGAAATTATTATTATTATAATAATCCGGAACCGTCTCGTTTTAATTTATCCGGTGATAAATATACATTTTGTTCGAAATGTTTTGATTCAGTTAAAAGTGATTCAATATTTGTCGGTGATGATCCAGCTCAAACATTAGTTGAATTACCAAAAAATTTATTTATATCAGCTAAAAATGATATACAAGAACCTGAAACAATGATTGATTGTATTGTTTGTACACGTCGTTGGCATCAAGTATGTGCATTACATATAGATCAAATATGGCCCGAAGGTTTTATATGTGATACATGTTTACGTGAATATAATATAAAACGTAAAGATAATCGTTATACAGCATTTAAATTAACTGAAACTGATTTAGCTAAAGTATTAGAAAAACGTGTTAATGATTTTTTACGTAATGAAAGTTGTTCAACAGGACGTGTTACAATACGTATATTAGCTGCAAGTGATAAAGTATGTGAAGTAAAACCACGTTTAAAAAAATATTATCAAAATCAAGTACCTGATGGTTATCCATATCGAACAAAAGCAATATTTGCATTTCAAGAAATTGAAGGTGTTGATGTTGTTTTATTTGGTATGCATGTACAAGAATATGATGGACGTTGTCATGCACCAAATACACGACGTGTTTATGTATCATATTTGGATTCAGTACATTTTTTTCGACCTAAAGCTTATCGTACAGATGTATATCATGAAATATTAATTGGATATTTGGATTATGCAAAAAAACTTGGTTATGTTTATGCACATATATGGGCATGTCCACCAAGTGAAGGAGATGATTATATATTTCATTGTCATCCAGTTGAACAACGTGTACCAAAACCAAAACGTTTACAAGATTGGTATAAAAAAATGCTTGATAGAGCTATTTTAGAACGTGTTGTTATTGATTATAAAGTAAGATAAAGCTTTATTTATTTATTTTTTTTAATAATATTTAATTGTTATGTTTATTTTTTTTTTAAAGGATATTATGAAAGATTGTCAAGATAATCAAGTACAAAATGCTTTGACTATTCCATATTTTGAAGGTGATTTTTGGTCGAATATTATTGAAGAAAGTATTAAAGGTATGAAATTAAATTTTTTAAATAATTAAAAAATCGATGAAGAAAAGAATTTCCTTAGAACTTGATCAAGAAGAAGAAGATCGAAGAAAACAAGAAGTTGAAGCAGCTAGAGCAATGGAAGATGGTGGTTTTGATGACCCCATTGAACCTGAAGATCCAACAGATGTAAATAAAATTTAAAAAAAATATTTTGTTTTTTAAATTTATTTAATCTATCATTTTATAGATTTCTGATAAACGTAAATCTGCAAATACGCATAAGAAAAAAAATTTAAAAAAAACAACATCTACTCAACGTAAAGTAGCAAAAAAACAAATGTCAAATTGTACAGATTTAATATCAAAAATATTTGCTACTATGGAAAAACATAAAGAAGTAAATAAAAATATTCATATGTAATATATAATTTATAAGATTTAAATTTTTTTGTTTTGTCATTTTCTAGGCATTTTTTGTTATTCGTTTACGTAATCCAATAGCATCATGTCCAGCTGTAAATGATACTGATGTTTTAATACAATGTGATTTAATGGATACACGTGATGCTTTTTTAAATTTTGCTCGTGATAAACATTATGAATTTTCTTCATTACGTCGTGCAAGATTTTCAACATTGGCATTATTATATGAATTACATACATCAACAACAGATAAATTTACTTATAATTGTAATTCATGTCGTCAACAATGTGAAATACGTTATCATTGTACAACATGTGATGATTTTGATTTATGTGAAAAATGTTATACTACTGAACCTAAACATGAACATAAAATGGAACGTTCAGTACCATCTATAGTTGATGTTAGTCAAGATGGTGAACATAATTCATTAAATAGTAATGATAAATCTATAGCAAGTCCACAATTACAACGACAACAATCAATGCAACGTTGTATTGAAGCATTATTACATGCTGTTAATTGTCGTAATGCTAATTGTGTTAATCGTAGTTGTTTTCGTTATAAACGTGTTATACAACATACAAAAGAATGTAAAGGAAAAAATAGTCAATGTAATGTATGTAAACAAGTTATTTTTCTTTGTTGGTATCATGCTAAAAGTTGTATGGAACTTAATTGTCAAGTACCATTTTGTACTAATTTAAAAACTAAAATACAAAAACAACGTGCAACTAGTTTGCAAACAGATAGACGTCGTATGCAAGCTATGATGCAACAAAGAACGAATACAATGCAAACACAACAACAGCCACAGCAGCAGCAACAACAACAAGCACAGTCAGGTAAAAAGAAAACTTAACTTTTAAAAGCAATGTTTATGAGATTAAAAAAGAAAATAAAATATGATAGCATAAATGAGACAATTTTTCAAATGAAACGTTCTGAAATTTTGCCAATTTGATTGTGAATTAGATATTGATTAAAAAAATTCCTAGTGTCTTACCTTGAATAAATTCATTCTACTTTCGCTAATGTTTCTCCTGAGCTTTAATCGTTGGTGAACTTCTGGCCATCCATGGATGAGACAGTTGCAATAAAAAACACAATCCAGAAAAATTATTTTGATTTAATTTCGAACATACTTTCATTACTAAAACAAGCATTGAAGAAGAAAAATACTCAAATTAAAATGGAACTGATTACATTTGAATGTTTTTAAATTTTAGTTTCAATAAACACATCTATACCATCAAATTCATTTGATTCATCTGGTAAACCAGCACCAGTAACATTAATTCGTGCACCGCAACCAGGCGCATATCCTAATCAAACATATATAACAGTAGCACAAAAACCAAATACTGGTAAACCAGTTCAACAAACATCAAATCAATTAAGTGTATTAATTGGACGTGTTAAACAAGATCCATCCATAGATGATCAACCACAACAACAACAACAACAACAACGCTCAGATATAAATGATCCTAAACAATTAATATATCAATCATTAATGAATAAAACTCCTGTAAATCGTTTACCATCAACAACAGCAACAACAACAACATTTATTCAACAAACAAATCAACCACAACAATGGCATACTTCAGTATCACAAGCACAATTAAATCCTCCTCCTAATTATACAACAGCAACACGTCCTCGACATCCTACTATAATGCCACAACAAGGACTAAATCAACCAACATCACATACACTATTAGCACCATTAAGAGCAAGTTCTTCAACACCACCACCATCAACTTATATAGCACGAACAAGTTCAACACCAAATCTAACACGAATACCATTAAGTGTAACATTAGCAAGAACATCTCAATTTTCTTCTCAACAACAACAACAACAACAACCACCATCACAAGATCCATCTCCACGCTAATTGAGATTTTCTTTGTACATTTATTTTCTTTTCTTTTCGTTTTTTCTTGCGTTTGCCCTATTCGCTCTTTTTTACGTCTATCATCTTTGATACACACTATTCACCTCCGTTCAAACACATATTGTTCTATCTTTAGCTCGTGTATATGTGTCCGTATTTGTTTTGTTCGTCTTATCATATCATCAAGACACACAAAAAAATAAAACAAAAAAAAAAGCGTTGTTACATTTTGAAAACAGGAACGATTTTTATTTTTCTGCTCGGGAAAAAGAACCTGTGTGCGTATGTATATAGATTTGAAATATATAAATATATTGGAAGCATGCGCTCGGTTCTTGTCTGTTTTCTTTTTTCTTTTTCCTTTCTTTTTTACTTTTTGTTTTGTGTGTGTTTCGTTGTTGTTTGTGGCGTGCTTTGCTCTTTCTCGTTCCTTTTTACATAACAAAAAAACGAAACTAAACAAGAAGAACTGTGTGTATGATGTCGGTTTGGTTTTTTCTTTTTTTTTTTTTGTTTGTTTGTTTGTTTATCTTTCATTGTCATTTTTTTTCTCCCTTGAACATTTTTGGTTTTGTTGTTGTTGTTCTTCTCAACTATCAAAGTTGATTTTTTTTTCTTTCTCTCTTTCTTTTTTTTTTGATATGTGAATAATAAAAAAAAACAAACAAGAAGATGAGAGATATTCGTCGAAATGGAAAAAAAAAAACATGATTTTTATTTCATTATGTTATCATATAGTTGTAGAGTAATAAATAGAAAATAAGAAATGAATTCTGAAGATGAATCTAGTGGTAATGATAATCAGGGTAAGTGTTTGATATAATGTTATTAAGAAATTTTTGTTTGTATTTTTTTTTTCTCTTTTATTAGAAATTGACGATGAAAGTATAACAAGTGAAGATGATGACAATCATCAAGATGAATCATCTATGCAAATGGATGAATCGACAAATTCACATGATTCAAAAATAGATATAGAAAAACAAAAAGCTGATGCTTTAAAAAAGCAAATTGGTGAGTTCAATTTATAATCGATAACGTTGATTTTTTTCTAGAAATAATTATTTTTCTGCATTGATAATTCTAAGTTATTCCATATATACTGTACAACGCATGAGTCCAGATCAATCATGCTTTTTGTTGTGTTAGTTGTAAATATATATCAGTTCAGTTGTATTTATGAAATATAGTAGAAAATGTTTCAACTACGAACATCGATGCACATAAAAGAAAACAATCGTTTTACGTCTATTCGTATTTGATCTGTAAATAGCAGAAGGTCAAACAAGCCTAGTTTTTGTCTGCTTCGATCTATGTCATTTATTTTCGTGTGCTGATATTATAATGATTATTGAGTAGAAAGTTGACGACTGTCTTTAGAAGAATGCAAGCATATAGCGTATTTCAAAAGGTCACATAACTAAACAAAACATTTATTGATTGAATACAGCATGTGCCTGTCGAAAATAGACAAAAGAAAAATAAAGAAAACACATTAATATTTAGGACAAAAAAGCAATCTATTTTTAACTAAGAATGTTTGAATTGAATTTGATGAAATAGTTGTAGAGAACATATTAAGTTCTACTTTAGCACGACAAACTAAATATGAATAAGAGATCAATAAGAATCAATTAATGATTCATGTAAGATAATATCTTTCCATTTCATCTAAATCCTCTTAATTAGAAAGTTTCATTGACACAATTCTTTCTGAATAATTTCAGAATTTTATTGAAGGAATCTTGTCTCGAAAGAAAAGAAATATACTAAACACTAATGACACTATCCGACATTCTTAAAACGAACGTTACTATCAATAGAAAGATTAGAAAAACGCTTTTGATTAGTGGGTATGAGCGTAGGTATTGAGCTTCTTCGCTCTCACATACACCTAGAGTGGAGGACTGCCACCACCGACTTACTACAAATATGACCACCTCCAATCTAAACTTATATGCAGTTATTGATAAATTAAGGATTATGCATTCAACAGGGCTACGATTAAACAACTTGAGAAAAAATATGAACAAGTCTCTATGAAATAAAAAATTTATTTTTCAGAATCAATAAATTCTTAATTTAATGAAAGTATATGAAAGATGTTGTTTGCTATTAGATGAATATTTTTGTTAAGATTAGTAAACCACCTATCGACGTAACGGTCCACCTATCTCGACAGTGTCAGAAAAATGCGAAACTCATGCTTTCATTATATAATTTTGACGTTGTTAGAAGGCTGATGTGAGTTATGTTCTTAATTGTTCTTTCAGACACATCATCAATTTGTTCATCTCGGGGGAAACTACACTTAACTTTCTGTAGAAATAAATCTCGATGAAAATATCCGCATTTTAGACCAGCATTATTCCGTCACAAACGTATATTTCAATCATAAAATTGTAAAGGGAGCTTCGATTCTAATGAAACTTTGAGGATGTGTACAGCAACTCAACTTAAATATATTCTGAAAATTTTAGCTTTATCTGACTTTGTTCCGCTGAGATATTGAAAATAGAAAGTGCAAAATTGTTATTACGTCACGAATGATCAGGCCGTAAGACAATTGGTAAAAAAATACATTAATATTTTTTCGCCATTATCTGATGAACTATTCAATTATGTTCTCATGTCTATTATTATAATAACTTTCTCTAATACAAATTTGTATTTTTTTTTTTTTTCATAAAATATTACCAAAAGAAAGTGTTAATGCAGCAGGAAAATTAATTAATCATAATTTTTCGATGAAACGAGACCAAACTATGTAAGATAATAATAATTGATTAGAGGACGTGAACAGTATGTGGACAAAATGGATAAATAAACTAAATAAATAAATGGACAATGAATAACATAATCATAATCCATTATTAGCCATGATTCAGTTCAGCCCAAATGACGTAGTATCATGTGTCTTATCTTCTACTGTTTATTTTTTGTTATTCTATACTCCCACTTAAAAAGTCGGAACCTGTGTTTGTCTCAGGCAGATGGACGGATCTGATGATCTGTTTAAACATCTAGTAAATAAGAATGTAAAAGTGAAATATTGACAACAAAAAAGAACTCAACACAGAGAGAGAGAGAGACTTGAAGGGTATTTTATCATTTTGAATATATCATCAACGAATAGAAGGAAAGTTGCATATTGTTAACTTTGATTCTTTCTACCCTATCGATCAAAGTTTCAATTACATTCTCGGAAATATCTGCTTTGTGTTTTATAATCCATTATTATATTATTAGTAAATAACAATTATTTTTATTAATACCAAATGAAACTACTCTACATTAAATTAAATTTATTTTCATGAATATAAAGAAAAACAAAACAAAGCTAAACCTTCATTTTAAGTTTACTACATTTATTTTGCACATCTTTCCGTTTATCTTCAAATTGAACAAATGATTCACCAGGTTTTAGTCGTTTAATTAATAAACTTGATTTAATAGCATCTTGTCTTAAATCGGAATTTTTGAAAATTTTTTCTAAGAAACATTTGACATCGGGTAATGCTTTCAAATATAATAAATCTTTTTGAAGACATAATTGATTATATAAAAGTTTATTATTTTGATCAATTAATTCAAATTCAATTGCTTGACCAACTCGAAAGTCCATATCATTATGATCATTTGATATTGTACGGAGTAATGGATGAAATGTTTCTAAATTTATATAAAGTTTAATACCAGTAAATCATAAATCTTTTGAATCATATAATTTTATTGTACATTGGTCTTTGGACAATAAACGACCAAAGATTGATTTAAGGAATGCCCATGTATTTGTTGTTTTTGATAAGATAAGAAGAATGAAAAGAAAAATTCGTATGATCCAAATCGAATAGACTGATTGATTTTGATTTAAATAGATGTAAACAGTCTTTATATATAAGATGAAGAAAATAAAAGAATTATCGAACACGTTATCATCGTACTTTCATTAATACCTAAATTTATTTTCTTCTTTAGCTTTATGGGATTCATTTCTTGAATTACGTATAAAACTTCAACGAGCTACAATAACTTGTAACTGTTTACCAACATCAACAATCTCAGATGATAATGAATTACGTGAAGTAATCGATGAAAGTAGGAAAAATACAATTTATTTTATTTCGTTTTTTTTTTATACTTTTATTGTTTTGTTTAAGATGCAAAACTTTTTCGTAAAACGCTTGCTTTACTTCTTGCTATTGAAAATCGTCGTTCAAATAAACGAGTACATGAAGATGACAATGACGAAGAAGAATTAAACGAGAAAAATAATTTTACTGAAACAACAGAAATTTTTAAAAAAATTTCAAAACGTCTTAAATATGATGAACAAGCTATTGATGAACAGCTAAATAAAACTTATGAATGTTTCATACCAGAAAGGTAGAAAACAACATTTCATTAAGACATTGTTATTTTTAAAAAATATATATATACATATCATTGATTAGAGATGCTGTTATACAAAAATGGTTTGAACGTACACGTGGTTTTACTAAACAAAATAAAACAAATCTTGTTGAACAATCACCACTTGTCCAAATTAAAGAGGTATTATTTTAACAGAAAAAAGTTGTTAACGCAATCCCTGTGGAATTAAAATGTGAAACACGACGTAGTTCTTGTGATCTAGTACAAAGAGATTGTTCTATTCGGTCTATTTTGGAACACATTTCTTCACCATCCTTTTACTTAATCGTCAGAAAATGCAATATAAAATTATAACGAAACACTATCGATATACAGTGTATGATCATATATTAACAACGTCTGGCGAGGAGCAGAGGCACAGTGTGCATTTTTCACATGGCAGGCGGACATGTGACTTTCTTGTTCGAAAATGGATTTTTTGCTCAGAAATAATTATATATGGTGTAGAAAAGTATTTTTAAGAAAAAAAATTTTTCGACGAAAAATATATGAGAAGGAAAGCTCCTTGCTCTCAATTTTTTGGGGAAATTCTTTTCTTCAAGATTGTTTTGCGCCATATATCATTTGACGCAGTTCAATGCGCTGATTTCGAATATACTATTTTTGCTGATTAAATATTTTTCTAAAGTTAGAGAAACTGAGAAATGCCTGAAAAATCTTAGGATTTTTGAAAACCCAACGTGAAACACAGAAATATTTGCGCTAATAGAGATTAGAGATAGTAGATAGAAGAACATTCTGGCAAATCTTGGAAAAGTTTGGAGGTTGGATACGAGTGGATTGCTCATTTTACGGGGCTAGTCCTTCGGATGACAGTTTAGAAAAAAATATTCTTTTTTTTCTCAGAATTGCAACGTAGAGCTCAACTTTGAGATTCAGAAAATGTACTTGATTTATCTGTTGAATAGTTTTATTTTGTCAAATATGAATTTTCTTCATGACTTCATAATATTCAGACTAATTTTTAGGCAACAGATTTTTTAGTTTCTTTGACGGTTGTAACAAAGTTGTTTAAACCATTAGATAGACTATATTTCGAAATATATTTCCCTATATTTAAATCTTGAAAAAGCGCGATTTTCATTTTTAGCCAAATGTTCACCTAGATGCATACTAGTGGAAGGAGAAATCTAAATTTCTTTCTCTATACCTCAACATTCCTTTTAGATCGTGTTTCACAGAAAAAAGAATCAATAACATCTAAGAAGTAAATAGTATATTTTGGAGTGATGCTAAACACTACTTCTTTAGTTATAATATTCATCTAGATTTTTAAAATGAGATTCTTTATGATATGAAAAACTTTTTTATTTAGATTATGTCTTTACCTGATCGACTTATTAAACGTACACAAACAAGTCGAATAGATTATGATCTAATTTGTCCACCTTCTTCACCTAATCATTCTGAAACATCAAATAATTTAACAACAAAACTTAATTCTGAACTTTTTGATGATGGTGATTTTTATCATCAATTATTACGTGAATATATTGAACGTAAAACATCATCAATCACTGATCCTGAACAAATAAGCAAGTCAGTTATATATACATATATTTTTTTTTTACTTTGTCATATTATTGATCATTATTTTTTTGTAGACATTGGGCACAATTAAGAAAATTACGTAATAAATTAAAAAAAAATCTTGATACAAAAGCAAGTAAAGATCGAAAAATTCGTTATAATGTTCATAAAAAATTAATTAATTATATGGCACCAATTGATCGATGTTCGTTTACTGACGAAGCAAAGTAAATAGAGACAAAAAAAACAACTTGTTTTCTATTTATTTATTGTAGAACTGATCTTTTTTCATCATTGTTTGGTACAAATAAATTAACAACAGTTGATATTAAACAAACATCACCAGTAAATGATATTCGGATTATTTAATAGATTGTTTTTGTTTTGTTTAATTAAACAATAAAAATAACTTAAAAAAAAATGAATAAGGTTGAAATTCATTTTTTTTCCAAAAAAAAAGATTGACTACATTGTATAGATTGATTCAAATAATTTATTGGATCAATAGGATATCTCAAAATTAGAATAATTGGTTTCTTATTAGCCTCATACATAAAAGAACTTATTATCTTGTAAGCAACACTGTTAATATCAACAGCAAAATTATATTTATATGTTAATCCAATATGAGTTGATAGAGGCATTGATCAAGTTTGATTCTATAATTTCTTGAACATCTCAATATGAACTTTGTATCATTAATTGAATATTTGAATAAGAGGACTATTTGTATGTTTAATTAATGGTTTGATCCCATACGAAAATGATTTTGAATTATGGAAAAAAATTAAATTTAAACTTTAATTAATATGATCATAAATTAAAAAAAACACTAATATTTTTCCCATTGTTTTGGTTAGAATCTAAATCAATATTAATTGAATCATGGAATAAATAAGTATTGCTTCTTGAAAAATTTTGTTTTCATTCATAACTCAATAAACTACTGCACTTTGATCGATTATACTGCTCAAGCATTTTTCAATCTATATTGTTCATTGAAATACTTTGGTAAGAATTTCTTGTTTGATTATTATCCAAGATTCTATCAAGATAAATTACTCATTGGTATAGAAATATGTTCTAAATAGCAGCAACATGATATTATTGATTCATATCTAGTATGGTATTGGTAATCCAATCATACGAAAATACTCCAAAAGAGATTCTATTATCTTGAAACATTCACACTCTGTTTTATTCTCATACTGACTGATAATACTCATATTTTTCAAAATTTTTATTATAATAAAACCATACAGTTATAATAAAACTTGTATTAGTTAACTTAAAAAGACAACTAACAGCCATATATTTCTGTCAGTCAGAGGAAATAAGAAGTATAGATTCATATCCACTAATGATCGGTTTATCACCAGATAGAAATACATTAATTCCAAGACTATAATTTCAAAGATAGATGTTTTAGTATTGAGAATCTATTGTCCTTTCAATTTTTTATAAATAGTTCTGCTGAGTTTTGATTGTTCTGTTCGAAGCTGAATAAAAGAGTTTTAGGATGAAATCCGACTGATTCCAACCAATTTCGTAATCTTCTTTAATAGTCAAAGAAATCAAACAATACCATTAAATAGAGCATTTTAAATTGATCACGGTCGATACATACACAATTGACATGAATCTGTAGATATTCAATACTACAAATGCATTATTTTTAAGTTGAAGTTTCAGAAATTGTTGGAATTGATGTATCCATACTCAAAGACAGCATACTTCCAATATTGAGAACTACAAGTTTCTGCCAGCAATTTATGTCATCAATGATTAAATATGAATGATCTATCTGATTCTATTGTTTAATTTCTTTGAACATAAAAAGAAGATTATGGAATTGGTTGGAATCGGTCAAATTGTGTCTTAAAACTCATGAACTTCAATCAATTTCTTTTATTTAAATCCGATGAAATCCAATAATACCTTCCGATAGAACAATCAAAATTGAGCAGAACTGTTTATAAAAAAATTGACAGAATAACGAATTCTCAATACCAAAAAAAATGCCATCTTTGAAACTACGATCCAGGAAATGATGTATTCCTAACACAAAAAATAGCATCTATAAATTTTGTTTGAATGGAATTTGAAGAATTAATTATTTCAATTTTTTATTCAACTATTCGACAAACAAACAAGAAAGAATAAATTCAATTATTTTATGCTTCTTCAAATATTGTGATTGTACTTCAACCACTAATGATAGGAACTATACCATTCCTTAAATAAAATGTTGTTGTTGTGTCATAAGATTAGAAATATTGCTCAAAGAAAAATAGATGATGTTTGAGAATTATACAATGATTCAGTAAATATCTCAACCATAACTAAACTTTTGATTGTTGGAATGATACACAAGACAATAATAGATTTCATGACTATTATTTTTATGTTTTTTTTAACTTTATATTGCTCTTCTTGTTAATTTTTCAATTTTGTTTTAAAATAAATTTCTTTTTATGTCAGAAACAACAAAAGGTTAACAAGAAAAAAAAATCCGTCCATGTCCTATTTTGATGTTTTATAACTGGATGGTAAGACATTGGTGATGAATACAAAGTCATTATTATCTAATGATTCATATAGATCAATTATAATTCATTTAAATAGAAAACAAATCGATATTTTCAAGATTGTTAACAGATTTTATATGTATTATTGCATAAGGATTTTCTTCGAAAAGATCATATAGATTACTATTGTGAATCAATGAATCGTTCTGTATTAACTAGAAAATTTTTCAACACAAACTTAAACTTGAAACTCATTTCACTATCGACTATTCACTGTGATATACAATGTTCAGCATATGAAATAGTAATGCGTCTTTAATATATCATCTTTCAAAAATTTCATTATATTCCAGTGAATGTTGCAGTTGCTCTTCGTTTCAATGAGAGACAGTTATTCACCAAAAAAAAAAAATAATGTTAAACTAAAGAAAAATCAAGAAAATCGAAAGTATGATCATTATCATCGTCATCATCTCTTGACTATTTTGAATTAATAAATAAAATAAATTTAAATTCGATTGTAATAATAAAAAAAAATGTGATACACCTTTACTTGTAGAGAAATTGTCAATCATTCTTTTTCTATATACTTCAGAAGAAATTATTAGATATATATATATATGATTAATCATATGAGAATCATTATCATAGAAAATACAAACTTCATAATAAAACGTTCTTAGGGAGAATGAATTTAGTGAATTTCATGATGTAAATGTATCAAATTTTTTTTTTATATTGGCACTTACAAATTGAGGTCTTTTGAATCAATAATCACAATTTCCTATTAAACTTCTAAACATCGCAGAATAGACTTCAGTTACATTTATTGTTTAACATCTTATATACAAGCGTGGGCGTTAAAAAAAATCGAAATTTGAATGTTTCAATTGTAGTATTGATTGTTTTATTACTCCAATGACCTGTGGACAATTCTTCCGTGTATTGAATTTACGTTGAAACCTCTTAGACAGTTGTCGAAAATTCAAAATATATTTTCAGAACGAAGAACAATTTTTGTTCTGAGAGATTTTTAATTAAGGCACACATATGAACTTGAACATAATAACTAAACAATCAGGCATAATGAAGCCAATAGTTTTCTATATATCTCTTAAAGTAAAATAATTGACATTCTGTCATATAGAAAATTGTTTAAAAGAGTACGATTATAGTCAATAAACATTCTCATTCAAATAGGTCGATAAAAAATATACTTTCCATTGATATATTTTTGCATTTTTCATACAGAGTATAGCCATATGTAATGTTAATTGTAGTGAAAGCAAAACTCTCAATCATAATGAAAATTACTGTGTCAAATGTGTTGGTCCTGTCATGATAAACTCATTTTCTCTCTCTCTCTATTATCGTCATAGTCTGCTTTTTACCTTAAAATGAATTATTTTTTTTTGTATTTAGTTTTATGATTTATACAAGAAAAAAAACAGATTGAAAGAATAAAGTTACATAGTAAGAATGAGTAAAGAAGGTTAAACTGACTTTATTTTCCTATTTGATTATATTAACAAACGATATATTGGAATTTTTTCTCCTAAAATAATATTGAAAATATTCTTTGACCTTAGTTGCTGTTCCAATGTAAAAGGATGAAAACTTTTATTATATAGATTCTAGTTTTGTGCTTTAGTTTAGTATGTATAGAGTACTTTTCTTGTCTTTAAATGTATTGTGTTTATTTCAAAAATGTTTTAATTAAAAAGGCAAAGACAAAAAAATGTTTCAAAGAAATAGGAAACATAAGTTTTTGTTTTTATCATTAACATAATGGTTGTAGAACACATGTCTCATATTCAAAGTCATAGTTGCCTGCTGGTGAATATTGAGCAACAACATACATTTTATGACCTTCTTTTGCCATAGCATATGCTATACCAATTTTTTGTGTATCTTTCCAAACAAGTTGTGAAAAATGACCTACACTTGGTTTGTAACCTGGATGATCATAATCATAAAGTTTTATTTCGTCATACCATGTAAGTATTACTGCAGCAGCTAAAAAAAATAAATAATAAAAAAAGATATTGGTTGATTTAATAAAAATAACAAAATACATACCACTTATATCGGTAATAGGATGTTTACGTGTTATTACATAAAGATTTTCTCCAAACTGATCACCTCGATCAGTACTATGTATTAATTTACTGTTCGTACTAGCAAGCTGGTCAGCATATTTTTGAGCTCTTATATTTATTTCTTCATCAAGTACTAATGGTGGTACACAATGCCGAGCACGTAAGACATTATGAATATCCAACGCCTCATTTTGAAATTTTCGATGAGCTTCAGTAAATATTGGAGCTTCTCTTTGTTCCAATGAAAGGTTTTCATTCCAAACTCTACGCTGAATCAAAGGTCGTTCAACTGAATTCATATTAAGATCTTTGTCATGATTTGTCCGTTTTGCATCGTTCAACACAAAAAATGTGAGTAAGATTATTCCGAATATTTGGCTTTTCATGACTAAAATGTTTATTTGCTTTGTTTTTTGCGTGACTATTTAACATAGAAGAAATCCATACATCATCTTAATGTATTCTTAATAGTATAATGATTATTAATGCACTTTATTTTATATATCAAACAAGCATATCATTAATCTTTTTATTCTACACACTTCTCTGATTATGCTTAGCACATAACAAAGTTACATCGGACGTCATCAATAAAAATTTCTTTCAAAGAAAATAATCTGACAGTTTTGATGAGTTAAAATATTATATATTCTACAGGTTATAACAAAATACTTTATAAAAAAACATGAAATAACATCTAGATCAGAGCTCTACGTAGAATGGAATACTCCTATCCATCCCATGGAGCAAACAACTACTTATATAAACATGTTTTATAAGAAAATATATTATTATTTTTTTCACATAGACGGTGTTCTTGTCTATTTCAGTATTGTTAATGCCAATAAAATTTTATTATCTTCTATAAGTAGCTTTGCATTCTAGCCATTAGTGTATAGTAAAATGGATAATAATAAATGAATAAATAAATAAACAAAAGACGCTATTTTGTCTATTGTAATATTTAAAAGCAGTGAATTCATTCAGATTTTAGTACTAATTGATAAAATGTCTTCTGAAGATTCATAGTTGTCGTTTATTGAATATCAACATGATCCATCTGATTCAAGAGTGGTGTGAGTATGAGAGAAGAGAATGCTAATATTCACAAGGAGAAGAATAAAAGGAGAATACACATCGAAGATAATATCATCTAATTTTATCGTCACAGATCATAACAAACAATTCTTATCGAAATTTTATTATAATGATATTAGTTGAAGAATGATCATATATCACAGAAAAATAGAGCATTGTTTTTACTATTATTACATGCAAAGTGAAAGTTTCTTCAAGCTTTTTATACAGAAATAAACTACCTCCGCCACTTCTTTTTGATTATTCTCAGTAGTATAATATTTTGTATAATTAATCAAATAGATAAATGTATTAATAAGTTCCATTTTTTTGAAAACCATTTGACGAATATGATATCCCAAGGAACAGAAAATTATTGAAAGTTACTCTGTCCACATGTGGGACAAAAAATGTTGCAACATATCCCATTGTATAGGACCATTTTTCATCTCATCTCATCCCACGCGGAGCTCTAATGTAGATACATATATAATTATATTAAAATATATATTCTCATACACATATGTATTAGTCATCTATATAAAATCTAAACATCATTGATTCTTTATTTATCAAGTGCTTTTCTTATATTACCTATGAAATTTATCACAGTATCCTTCATCTACTATATTAAAATCGCATAATTTTGGTAAAACAAAAGTTTTCTATTCGAAAAGTGTTCAACAAGAAAACAAAAACTCAAATATCATTTGAATTATTCAATAATCTAATAAAAAAATTCGATTTCGATTATTATTATGAACAAGTTCTATCAAATTCCATTACCAGTGTACGAATAACCTGTGATAACTATTGTCGTTAGCTATCTTGATGTAGCGAAGTTAAAATTATGGCTCATCTACTATACTAATCACAAGATGGCTTTTATAGACTTTGGATTGCTGAGCGATACTTAAGATAGATTAGAGGCATATGCTGATAGAACTATTCAATTAAATCTTGAACACTGCTCTCATTTTATAAAATAAAGGATTTTTTGTGAGTTCAGACTTGAACACACATGTAAATGAATAAGAAGAGCTTAACTTTTTGACGAAATCCTGGTAGACATGCATAAATCAGAATTTTTCGTCATGATTTTTAGGTACGAATATGTTGCGATAAGTCCTAATGTATGAAAACATTCGTAGTTAAAAGGCATATTGTCTAAAAAAGGGTCAAGATTACAGTAAGATGTTGAAGTATGATTAGAGAAATTGTAGGTTTTACTATAGTACAACCTATAGCTAACGTCCTCACATAGACACATCATCAATTTCTGAATTGCAATTACAGAATATAGTCCTATTTTCATCATTAGGATGACACAGAAACAACCATAATTTGTAGTTTTTCTTTGTGAAGCACAGAACGTCACCCTTTTGTAATGATTAAAGCAAAATATTAACAGATATATCATCATCACTATATCAGAATGCAATGAATCATCTGCTTTTAAAATACATTCATCAATAGATCACCATTGAATTTAATTCTGAAAACAGAATAATCAATATGAGATTTCGATTTATCGTCCTTGGGAAAACGCTGTCGTCAAAATCTTCAGTATCATTAGTAATAAAAACCTCCTGAATGTTTTCAGATTTAGTTTAGTAGTTACTGTTTACCTGTAAAATCAGAAAAATGTACGATTTTCCAAGTGAGAATAATCTTTGAAGTCTTAAAACTCAATGAACTTCCAAAGAAGAAGAAAAACGTGTAGGATAGATCTTTTGTTCGATATACGACAGTAGCACTGAGGCAAAAAATGAAAATAAAACATGAGTTATCGTTAGCGACAATGAGTTAATGAATCTTTTGGAAAACAAACTTCCAGAACGACAGGATACCACTTTAAAAGGACTGAAAACTATGTAAATAATACCAAGATTGCTTTTCAATCAGTGTAAACTCCTGTCCGCCTCCAATATTCTGTCTGTACGACCTATTTACTAAACTTGATATAATTAGATTCCGTGCATTTTTTTGAAGACTACCGATTAGAAAAGAGATTCGTCGAGAAAAGAAAACCAACGATACGAGTCCGGTTGAATCCAAAAACAGCGTTTAAAGGTCAATATAATATCGAAGAACTCAATTCAATATCTATTATTATATTCGGACAGATATTTTAAAAGTTAATTAACAGGATGAAATTTAGTTAGCATGTATTTCGCTGAAAGTCGCAACATCGAAATGAAAATTACCGAAATTCAGCAATCCATATTTCGACAATATCACTTTCAGCCATATTCTGAGATCATAATTGCAGTATTAGAAACATTCTAATATCATATGTATTGATACTAATTGTCCTTGGTAGTTATAGTATTATGCTGAATTAATTACTAATTTAAGTTAACAAGAAGGTTCCTAAGTTGACTTAGACATTAAGTTAAGTTAGCAACTAAGCTGTTAACTAAATAAGTTAGTGCCTAAATTAGTAGCTAAGAAAAGATCAGATCGTAAGTCATAATGTATGCATCGTAGTTGAATAGCCACTCTCTCTCTCTCTCTATGGTATATAACAAAAAAGTGAACGAAGATCACTGGTATAGATCATCGAGAGAAATTCGATGATCTTTCTGTTCGATAATGTTCGTTTCGATGATCTCGTTTTCGGCGATGAGAAACACAATCGCTTCAAACGATGAAATGCAGATCATGATGAAAGAAATAAAATTTCTATCATTGCTCGTGAGAATATTTTGCACAAACTACACATACGTGTTCGCACATACAAAATCTCATCAACATCTAACTCCATCGAAACTTATCTTTTGGTTTGTTCTTTGTTGTATTATTCTGGTAATAATGCTTTTTTTTACTACTACTTTATCTTCCTAATAAGGTAGCAATAAACTGAATATACGATGATGTTTCCTTTAACTCCTTCATATCAGTCTTTTATGATCAAAACATACGGTGATTACTTCTTTCAATTGTTTCAGATTCAATATAGTGAGTCTTAAGTAATAAAAACGGATGAAATAAATTCACTACTTTCATAAAAGTCAAGATTTGTTCGCCATAAGTTATAGTTTTCGACACCATTTTCACCGTCAAAATTCGTTAATCTGTAATGCTAGATAATTCGATGTATGTACTGAATTGAAAGAGTAGTTATATCGTTACCCTCGATAATGATACTTGTTGAATTGTTTCATCATTTCAATTGTATATATTCTTATACATATGGATCCCTGAGTACGGTCACATAAGAGGGAAGAGTGAGATACAGTCATCATCTAGGCCAACATTACACACACAATATTATATAAAGAAGAGAAAGTAAAGAAAACAAAATGTAACGCTCATTTACTAGTACCATGTATCAGTTAAATTACCCGTGTCGTGCAAGATTTACCCAAAAATCTCTTATACAAAAATACAAAAAGTTTTGTAAGCTTCATTAAATCTAACCATTTTTGAAGTTCATTTCAGTTGTCTGTTGTTTAAAAAATCTCATTCACTCTCTCAAACTCAAAAGTATCTAGAAATGATTGTTTTCAAACATGAAAATCAATATCATTCATTATCATACTAAAACCATACTCTCCTCTGCATGTATGAGAGAATCTAGTCATTTTGAATAGCTTTGCAACTTTACAATTATTTCAATACAAATACGCAAATATACTAGAAAAATATCAAAAGGATTAGAAAAAAATAACGATTATGAAGCTCTTGTCAACTATTTTAAAAATCTATACATACAGGTGATAATGTTTTGAACTACTTTAAACATTTTTGTTTTTCTTTTGTCATGCTACATCTGACTTCTTATATTTATCAGACAGCTAAACTAATAAAACCATTTCATTTTGTTGACACTGGATTTAGCAGAATAGAAAAATATCATTATTAACACTCTTCTTCATGTACTCTTATTATTCACTCTTAGTAGTGTAAGAACACAATAAATCACTAAAATGCTTTATTGACATACAACAGCATATCTTGTCGCACAGGTAGTCTCGTTTTCCATTTGTTTTGTATTTTTTTTCTTCAATAAAAATAAATTGTAGTAAATGAAAAACATGTGTAATCATATTATTACAATTTAGAATGCCAAATCAAGTTCTTATTTCGATTAAACAACGATGGCGTTTAATAGCTCTTATACTCATACCGTTAATTCTTCTTCCATTGCCTATTATTATTAAAAATTCAGTATGTTATAAATTTTTCTAAGAATTTATCTTCAATAATATCGTTATAGCAAGCAAGATGTGGTTATATTGTACTTATTCTTTCTCTGTATTGGATATTTGAAGTAATACCATTACCAGTTACATCTTTATTACCACTCATATTTTTTCCAATGGTAAACAAATTTTTTTTTGTTTGTTTGAACAAATTTTCAAATAATTTTGATGTTTATACACAGGCTGGTGTTTTAAAGGCTGAAGAGGTGGCACCATTGTATTTCAGAGATATAATCGCACTTTTCTTTGGTAGTCTGGCATTTGCTCATGCTGTAGAATCAGTTAATCTACATCGACGTATTGCACTGTTCGTATTGCGTCATGTTGGTACGTCGACGAAATGGTATTGTGGATTTTTTTTTATTCTGAGATTTTTGGAGGAATTTTGAATTTATTTGATTAAAATATTTTGTATGTTTTTCAATTGATCAGGGCTTTGGGTGGTTTGATGGCAGTAACGGCATTTCTTTCTATGTGGATTAATAATTCAGCAGCAGCATCAATTATGTTACCTGTATCATTAGCTATTATTAATGAACTTGAACGTCACGGAAAAGATTATTCTGATAAAAAGCGAATCATCAAACAAACAACGTCCATTGTACATGGTAAAAGAATTATTCAATAAAATAACCACTATAAAACTTTTGAGTATTACATAGTAACATACGCTTCAATCGTTATTTAGCTCAAAGATATTTTCAATCACGAAACGTTCAAAATCTTCATTTATGATGCCGCATACCAAGACATTTTCTTGTAACAAATCGTTGATAAAAAAATCGAATATCAGTTCGATAAGTTGACGCTGCATCACTATATATCGTTCTGACCCAGACCAACTCTGAGTTTGAATAAGCTTGGATTAACTTCGAATGAATCTATCAAAATGACATTTGTTTTTTTCAAAAAAAATGGCTTAATGTATAGTCTCGTGAATAGAAATTTTCAAGGTCTATCGACTGATAATATCTTTGAGTTCAACGACGATTGAAGCGTATTTTATTAATAATAAAAATCTATTGTTTATAGAAGTCCTTGAATTAAATGAAACGGAAATACAAAATGGAGATACAATAAAAGAAGTTATTCTCGATGCATCTCAAATAGAAGAACAGTATGTATATAAATATGAACATCGGATTATTTATAAATTATTGAATATGTTAGAAAAACCGAAGTTTATGTTGAAGTAAAACAACGTTTTCGACTACCATGGCAAAGACAAGCACAATCGAAAGTTGATGAATCACATGAAAAAAAATATGAAGACTTAAGAAAAGGTATTTTACAGGTTGTTTTTTAAATGAATACTTATATATATATATATATATATATTCATAGGTTTTCTTCTTGCTACAGCTTATTCAGCAACTATTGGCGGTTTAGCAAGTCTTGTTGGTACAGGACCAAATATTTTTGTCAAAGGTTTTGTCGACAAGTAGATAACAAAAAATTTCCTTCTCTGTTTACTGTATGTTATTTATTTAGTACATACAAAGGCACAAATTTTAATATAAACTTTCTCAATTTTCTCCTATTTGCATTGCCAGTGGGGATAATAATGCTTATTCTATGTTGGTTATGGTTACAAATATTATATAATAGACAAGAGTTTGTATTAAATAAGAAGAAACATCTTCTTTTTTTTATTCATTTATCTTAGATTATTTAAATGTCGAACTGATCCTGAGGATCGTGAAGCGCTAGCTGATTTAAAAGCCATGTTAATTAGACAATATAGGGATCTGGGAAAACCAAAGTAAATATAAGTAAAAAAATGCCTATTTGTAAAAGTATTTTTCTTTGAAATATTTAGGTGGAGTGAATATACTGTTGGAATTATTTTTATTATTATGATTATTTTATGGGTGACCAGAGAATTTGGTGAAACACACGGATGGAATATTCTATTCAAAGAAGAGTATTATCGATAAGAACTCTGTCGGATAAGATAACTACTCTTCATTTGATCGAAAGGTCATCTAAATCATTTCGTAGAGCAACTCGTGATGCATCGAATATTATATAGGGAGTTGTATTTTCATTAGTTTTTAACGTTAAGAAACCATTTACTAGTAAAAGAATATTATAGCAATAGTATGTAATATAATCAAATATTATAATTCCGTATATTCCCAAACCAATTTATATAAGACGTTGTTTCAAGTTAATCCAATAGAGTTTTGTCTAGTCTTTAATCGTGCATATCTAATAATTTTCACAATTGAGTGTGGGTATCTTAAGTATGTGGATGTGGGGGTTGAAGTTCTGCTGATCGGTACTGACATACTTTAAAGATCTGAAGTGGAAAATATTTTTTGCCATTTTAGAAAGATCCATTTATATCAAATGACAGAGCATTATGAGCTCATCATTATGAGATAGAAATTTTTCCGCTTCAAAAAAAATCTAATTGCGAAACTGATGTAGGTACCTTTCTGTCCTGTCAATTCGTATAGTTACAGGATGCGTCACGAGTTGCTATACAAACCTATATAGGTGACTTTTCAAATGAAAGATGTACTATAAAAAATAAGCATAGAATAATAATCTCTCACTAGTCATTTATTACCATTATATAAACCTTTCTGGGGTATATGAACGGAATAAACCGTCAGACAAAAGATTTATGAGCGGGAAAGATAGCTTACGTTCATAAACTAAAAAAAGGATTTATGTAATGGTAATAAACAGATAGTGAGGATTTATTATTCCATATTTTTTTTAATACACCGTAGTCATCTTATTAGACAGAGTCCTTTGTATTAAAAAAAAATTAATTTCTTGAATTTTTTCATAGCTATACAAGTGATAGTACAGTTGCAGTATTTTGTGGTTTACTTCCATTAATATTACCTAATTCGAATCCTTTTCAAAGTTTGTTTAATAAATAAAAATTCTATATAATACATTTCTTGTATATAAGGAAATTGGAAATACGAACCAATTGTCCAATGGAATGTTTTAGTAAAAAATATATCATGGGGTGTTATATTTCTACTTGGTGCTGGTCTTTCTGTTGCATTAGCTTTCACTGTTTGTATTTTTTATTATTAAAAATTGTAATTGAACAATGTTTTTTTATTGATAAATAAGACTTCAAAATTATCAGACAGTGTTGCACAAGCACTTCGATTTTTAGATGGCATACCACGTGCTGCTGTTATTGTGTTAGTTATTGTTATTAGTGGTCTTTTTACTGAAGTAACATCAAATTTAAGTACATCAAGTATTTTTTTGCCCGTACTTGATTCTGTGGTATGTTTGAGTATTTCATTTTAATTAAAAATAGAATTTTTTTCTTTATGTTATATAGGCACGTTCATCTTTTATTCACCCCGCTTTTCTTATTCTTCCATGTACTTTAGCTGTATCTCTTGCTTTTATGTTACCTATTGGTAAGTGATAAACAGAAAAATTTATTAAAGAATTAATTATATTGGTTTTTTTTGAAAGCCACACCACCAAATGCAATTATTTTTGGTTCTGGTTGTGTCCGAGTAATTGATATGGTAAGATTAATAGTCAATTCAAACAAAAAAGAAGAATACACCTTTTCTCATTGTATTTTTTAGATCAAAACTGGTATTGTAATGAATATTATTGGTTTCCTTGTTGTATTTCTTGCTGCAACAACTTGGATGCCAAAAATTTATGGTCTTGATGATCGAGCAACAGAGATTTTTTTCAGTTTTAATAGAACTACAACTCCAGGACTGTAATGAAACAAATAGCTAAAATTGTATATAATACATATATTCTTTTACTTTATCAAAATACAAAAAAAGAACGTTTTTTTTTGAGAAATAGAAGAAAAAAAAAGATATCAGCAGATAAGAATGTCTATTTATTACCACCGGCATGACGCATTCGACGATAAAATGCATTACGCTTATGTTTAGCAACTTGATGCTTTTTTGCATGTGAAAAATGTTTTTTTCGCATATTTAAACGTTGAAAATTTGCATTAGGATCTTTTATTTTAGGTTTTTTTGTACGTGGTTGTTTACTTATTGACGATAATGCGATTGTATCATTGTCGGTTGTTGCAAGAGTAGACATATTATCGAGTGAATGCGTCGTTGATATTGATCGTTTCCGTTTTTTTGATATACGATTCTAAAAGTATTCAGATTTGAAAACCAAATAAAATTGATCTGAAGTAGTAGTGCAACAAGAAAAAAAATTGTAGATTGATGTAGACTCGGTCTTCTGATCCTGTCAATAAAGGAGACGGAGACGCTTTAATAACGCTTGTAAAGAAGGTTCTAGTCCCTGTTTAAGCAAAACTCAACCATTTGCAAGGAAGACTGAAAACCTTTTAGAGAGAAGGGATTGAGCCTCCGTCAAGTTACATAACTAATCTCAAATCCAAAGAAATTAGTTCATTAAAAACCATGATGTTGTTTTTTCCTTGTAATAAATCCACTCCTTCTATTTCATCTCTTACCTCTTGTTCTATTTCCTCTTCTTCTTGTTCTTTTTCATCATCATTATCTTCGTCTTCTTCTGGCATATTTTGATCGATAATTGTATCTTCTTTTTCTTCATCTTCACTATTTAAATCTAATTGTTGTTGTCTAGCAAATGTTAAAAACTGAAATTGAACAAGTTTTGATTGACTACTAACAGGTACATATTGAAAATCATCTTTATCGTCATGTGATATATCTTCTCCTTCATCATCATTATCACTAGGATCATATGAAAAAGAAATATGTGTCGGTAAACTAGATGTTGATGTTGTTGGTGTTATATTTGGTTGAGATGATGTAGAATTTTGGTGTTCTTCATTTGATGCTAATCGTTCCCATACTTGACTACATGTAACTGTTGTATGAATAGGTGATGGAGTTTTTGGACTAATTGTTTTTGAATAAAGTTCTGTATGTGTATGAATAGTTGCTTAAAAAATACAAACAAAATTTATTGAAGAAATAAAATTAAGGAAAAAAAGAACAAACGTGTTGATGGTGGTTGAGAATTCGTTGTTATTTTATTGATATTATTTGTTGTTGACAGATTATCTTCATTTTCAAAATCAGTACTTAATACTTGACTACGTGATAAATTAATACGTCGTTTAAGATTTGTTCGATTACGTTCACGTAATGGTTTTAATGACGATGATGACAATGATAAAAATAATGGTAACGATAATGGATGAGGTTCTTCTGTAGATATTGTAGGAGAAGCACGAATTGGTTCGACATTCATTGATTATTATCTATAAAGAAATATGAATGAATTATCCTTCGTCGTTCTTCTTTGAGAATAAAGAAAGAACGCTAAAATTTCGTCTTGATTTATATCTAGCGACACATGAGTTTTTTTATTGGTTATGATCTAGAGACGATTAATCGACCAAATTTGCGCGCGTTGGTTGGTGATTTCTAGTGACTTATGATTAGTTAATTGCCAAAGTTTTTATAGGAAATTCTATCTTAATTAACTATGGAACGACGAAAGAAAACTGATGAAAAAACGGCAAAACAAATTCGTAATCGTCGACGAAAAGCAAAGAAAAAACAAGAAGAATCAGTATATCCGATAAACTTATCACAAATTAGTAAGAAATCGTTACTTTATAATCTTTCAAATAATTAAAATTTCAATGCTTATCTTACATAATTGAACATTTTTTTTTAAAGTAAATCAAATGGAAAGACTTTGACTTATTCTATTTTAAATTAA